CCCTGGGGGCTCCCCGTGCCACTCAACCTGCTCCAGCCACTTGAGCCCGCCCCCACTGGGAACCCCGCCCACCTCAGGAGGGACTCACGCCCTCCTTGGGGGATCCCCGTGCCACTCAAACCGCTGCAGACAGCTGCCTCCTCCCCCCCATCGGAAGGCAGAAGGAGCTTACTGCAGCCCCAAAATGCAGATTTACAAACTGAGGAGCGCCCCAATTTACGCAAGGTCGTTGTCTACAGTGTTATTGTGACAGCCGTTATATTTTCTACTTGTGACATTGTAATTCACATATAAAATAATTTATCTCTCCCCAAAGATAGAGGAAACCGATTGTCAGTTTATAAAATAATTCCAGGTACCAGTGGCTCACTGCTGCCTGTAATCCGAGGCTGAGATCTAAGTTCAAAGCCAGCCAGAGCAGGAATGTCTGTGAGACTTTCATCTCCAACTAACCACTAAAAAGCCAGAAAGGAAGAAAATGTTTAATTTTTCAAACTTCTTTTCTAAAGCCTGTATTCAATTCAAATATCTGTGTACTCCCTCTGCAGAGAATGCCTTTTTAACTGAGCTAGGTATTCATAGACTTGTTTAAGAATAACTATAGGCCTGGAAAAAATCATCCCACCCCCCAGGGGTGCACACGTTCTTCATTGCTAAGGTACTAAGTGTTTTTTGGTTTTGGTGGCATCTTAGCACTTGAACTCAGGACATGGGTACTGTCCCTGAGCCTTTATGCTCAAAGCTAGCACAGCTCCACTTATGGCTTCTTTTTCCCCCCTGGTGCTGGGGCTTGAACTCAGGGCTTGGGCTCTGTCCCTGAGACTCTCTGTGCTCAAGTCTAGCACTTGACCACTTGAGCCACAGCGCCATGCCAGGCCTTTTCTGAGTAGTTTATTAGAGGTAAGTCTCTCATGGACTTTCCTGCCCAGGTTAGCCTCGAACTGTGATCTTCAGATCTCAGCTTCCTGAGTAGCTAGGATTACAGGCGTGAGTCACTTGTGCCCAACTCAGGCACTAAATTTTCATTGCTAAGGTAAGGAAAGCATTTCCTTAAGTTGCTCTCCAGCGAGGCGTCTGGTTTTGAGGGTGCGGCTGGGTACGTACCCCACCCAGGGTGCTGCAGCCCAGTGCTAAGAACTTCATCCACTCTATCCTCTTGGTGCAAGGGTCCAGCAGCAGGAGCGCTCGGAATTTTTCCACAGGCAGGCACAAATTTTTCCACTTCTTCTCAAGGTCATCTAATTCCACGAATTCCTTGTGGCCACACTGTTGAGAAAACACAGTATGACAGAGTCCAAGAACTCCATGGAAGAACCCCGTGAGTGGCCCTAGGCAGTGGAAACATCAGGGCAGCCCCCAGGTAGGGTAGGGAAGTTGAGGGAGGTGGCCACTGGCTAGATGTCAGTAATGTCTATGTCGGTAAAAGGAGGAAAGGAGCCTGGCGCTGCCCTGTGGCTCCGGCCGATCATCCTAGCTACTCGGGAGGCTGAGTAAGTGAGGATTGTGATTTGAAGCCAGCCCAAGTAGCAGTCTGTGAGATTCTTTTCTCCAATTAGTCACCAAAAGGTCAGCAGTAGAGCTGTGGCTCAAATGGTACAGCACTAGCCTTGAGTATAAAAACTTAGGGACAGCAACTAGGCCCAGAGTTCATGCTCCATGATCAGCAAAGAGTAAAAAGAGGTAAAATGACTAGGGAGCAAATACCTCATGGTGGTATGACCACATGAAAGGAGTGTACAGATACTGGGTATATGCTTCTTCCCGGTCTGCTACTTTAGTGAATCTTCGTAGAGATTGCCCACAGCTGCGGTTTGTTCAAGCTAAGAGAGCACTGATACCACAGGACTCTGTGGGCTGGGCCTGGAAACAGCACACTTCTCCAAAATGCATTTTGGAGCCAATGCTTTAAAAGTCAACATCACACCAGCGGTGCCAGTTTTAGCACCATGACCTCACATTACAAATGGCCCAAACCCCTTCCACTGTAAACTTTCTATTAATTCATGTCTTCAGTGTGGAGGGCAGGCCTAGTGATGGCTCCCCTCTTCCCAGGTTCTCAAGTTTGAACTCATACCTTGAATTTGCTTGGCAGCCACGCTACCCCTTGAGTTATCATGGCTGGAAATGTGTTTTCCAAATAGGGTATTACATTTATGCCGGGGCCAGCCTATTTGCACTTCCCATATAGCTGGGGTGTCAGGCACATCTCCCCATTCCCAGCTTTTCATTTTTATTTATTTATTTTGTGCTGGTCCTGGGGCTTGAACTTAGGGGCACTGTCCCTAAACTTTTGTATTCAAGGGTACTACTACTCTAGTACTTGAGCCACAGCTCCACTTTGTCTTTCAATGGCTAATTGGAGTAAGAGTCTCACAGATTTTGTTCCCTGAGCTAGCTTCAAATCACAATCTTCAGATCTCAGCCTACTGTGTAACTAGAATTACACGTGTGAGGCACTGGTGCCAGGCCATACCCAGTTTTTTTCTTCTTGTTGATTGGAATCTCACCACATTTTTGTCTAGTATGTCCTTAAACTGAGATCCTCCTGATCTGACTCTGGAATAGCTGAAATTACAGGCATGGGCCATCATACCCAGATTAACATTTAGTCTTTATTTTTGGCTTGAACTTAAGGCCTAGGCACTGTCCCTGAGCCTCTCGGTGCTCAAGGCTAGCACTCTACCACTTGAGCCACAGCGCCATTTCTGACTCTATGCATGTGGTACTGAGGAATTGAACCCAGTGTTTCATGCATCCTAGGCAAACACTCTACCACTAAGCCACATTCCCAGCCCTGTCTTCCTTTTGAGTTGAAAAGAAATCATGTTTCATTTTTCTGACATCTACCCATGAAGAGCTATTTGGGGCTCTTTTCACTAGACAGAGTCACAGAGTTCATACACTCCTCTATAGAAATAGGCCTTGAAGACCCAGGCTGGGAGGTGGGGGAGTGGAGAGGGGGTCGGGCAGGCAGCCGTCCCAGCGGCTCGGCTGGCTGGCTCATCAACCCGGAAGCCGCACAGGTGACGAGACAGAGGCAGCCCCTTCCTTCTCTTACCTGCTTGTGCAAGACTTTCAGAAGCCCCTGTGTCAGGCCTGTGTCTGTTTTCTGGGTAGCCACGGGCATTTCAATTCTGTCCTTGACTGGAAGTGGATCTCCTCTGGACAGAGCTGAAAAATAGCTGAAAAGAAGAGAGGTGCCGAAGTTCATCAATACACAAGAAACATCCCACGTCCAGGCGGAAGCAGGGAGACTTCCGAAGACCTACAGTCGCAGCGCCTCTGCTTCACTCTCGCAGCTAAGCTCCTCTGAGCCCAGGTCCACCTGCTCAGAAGCAGCTCCTCCAACCCACACTGCTCTTACCCAGAGAGGACGGACTCCAAGGGCCTCTGAAAGGCAGTCAGCAAGGTGTGAGGTTGGGTCTGTCCTGACTGAGTCTAAGGTCAGGCTACATCAGCCACCCCTGCCAGCTGGGCCTGCTGCTTTCTGAGGTGGTCTGTGGACACCTCTGTATGGGCACCGGAGCCCAGCCCAGCACACAAAGCTCATCCGCTGTCCACAATGGGAGCTGTGGCTGCTGCCTCGCTGGTTCTTTATGGAGACACTGTCAATCCCTCTTAGGTTATCACAAGCCAAGCCATGGGAAGAGTTCAGGGTAACAAGTCAAATGAGGGGACCCATGTGGGCCTCAGGTGGGTGGGAGGGAAAGGAGGGGGTGCCAGGAAGGGTCTTCCTGGCAGAGGGCCAGCCCCGCCAGGGAAATGACATTAGGACAGGCACAAGGACCACAGGCCTGCATTTAAAAGAGCTGATCATTAGAAACCTAAAAATGTCACGGCTGGGCATGTCCACCTGGTCCATTTTCTAAACCCTGAAACACAGCTCTTCTCTCATGCTTGTAAGACAATGTCTGCTCCATGTTGTGGCTTCACTAAGGTTCAGAGGGAAAGCCACATGAAGTCAGCCAGCCAGCCAGCCAGCCAGCCAGCCAGCCAGCCACAAAGGTAAGGCTGAAGACCCGAGGGGCCAGGCGGGAGGAGGAGTGACTTGGTTGGCCGAGGGGTTTTTGTGTCTTGTGCTTGCGTGCCGGTACTGGGGCTTGCTATGTTTACACTCAGCCTTTTCACTCAGGCCTGGCTCTCTACAACTTGAGCTTTTTGCTGGTTAACGAGAGATAAGTGTCTCTCAGATGTCTGCCAGGGCTGGTTTTGAACCATGATCATCAGATATCAGCCTCCTTGAGTAGCTAGGATTACAGGCGTGGGCCACTGGCACCAGTTTCTAAATTCCTACATTGTTCTTAAGACAATTCAGTGGCATGGAACACTCAGAAGATTCTTTAAAGAATTACCAAATATAATTGCATGCTCAAAAATTGGTTAAATTTTTTACTTTTCTGTAAAGTACAAATAAAACTTTTATAAATCTATGTGGGTGTGTTGTGGTGTGTGGTGTGTGTGTGTGTGTGTGTGTGTGTGTTGGTTCTGGGGCTTGAAGTTAGGGCCTGCGTGCTGTCCCTTAGCTATTTTGATGGCACTGTTATCAACTTGAACCACAACCCCACTTCCATCTTTTTTGGTAGTTAATTGAAGAGTGTTATAGACCTTCCGGCTTCAACCTATGATCCTCAGAGCTCAGCCTCCTGAGTAGCTAGGATTATAGGCGTGAGCCACCAGAGCGTGGCAATACTGTTTTTTATTTAGGCTTTAATGATTAAAGCCACAGACCATAATTTTTACCTTGAGAATATTCCAGAGGCAATCAACAAAAGTATTTTGCAGAAGGCAAACACTGGTTTAACAGGTTGCCCTGTTGGTGGGTTAAATAAGTGCCCCAAAGATACCCAGACTCGAATTCCTAGAACCTATGAATGATACTCAAGTGGCAATAGTGTGTTCAGTAAAGGATCTTAGATGGAACAGTTATTATTGTTGGGTCATTCCACAATGAACCCACAGCTCTTTAGAAGAGGGTGAACTGGAAGATGCTCGCTGTGAAGATACGAAAAGGAACGGTTTTAGCAAACTAAGCTGGCTAGGAGGAGTCTCTATGGCGGAACACGGCTGAGATTCCCCTTGTTTAAAAAAAGCCATTTCATGAAGGAAGTCAGGGTGTAACTGCGCCTGCCTCCACACCTGACTGCCTGGCCCGTATGGGGGCAGGAGAGCACTTTTGTTGCTGCTGTCGGTCTGGGCCTTGAACCCAGGGCCCGGGTGCTGTACCTCAGCTCCTAAGCTCCAGGCCAGCGCTCTACCGCTAGTGCCACAGCGCCACTTCCGGTTTTCTGGTGGTTTCTGGGAGATGAAAGGTTCACGGCCTTTCCTGCCCGGGCTGGCTTCGAACCGCGATCCTCAGATCTCAGCTTCTCCAGCGTCCCCGGCCCCGGGCGCGCCCCGCTTACCCCGCGGACCACTGCAGCACGTCGGCGGGCTGCGTGCGGATGGCGGCCTTGGTGAACTGCTTCAGGAGGTCCGGCAGCTCGGGCGGAATGTGGATCTGCTGCGCGCAGAACATGGTGTCGGGGAGCGGCATGGCTCTCCACGGGCCGGGACGGCCTGCGGCGAGGGGGACGGGGACACCGGGCGGAGGCCGTCGGCGGAGCTCGGGCCGGGGACGGGCCGGGGAGGACGGCGGGACTCAGCGGTTCCTCCTGCAACCGCCCCAGCAGCGACTCCGCTCGCCCCACGGCTCGAGGGCTGGGCCGCTCTCCTGTGGCGTCGCGGTCTCCAGGCAACCGAGACGCGCGGTCGCGGGCGGGGCAGCGCCATTGTGACGTCACGGCACCCAGGCAACCGGGACGCGTGCGGGCCGCGCCCCTGAGCCTGCGCGTGCGCACACGGCTCGGGCCGGGGAGCGCGTCTTAGGGTGCCGGAAGTCGCTTTCCCGGCTAACGGGTGACCCCGAGCTGCACGTTTCTTTCAGAGCAGTGTCATTTGATCAATTTTCCACCGCGGGACGGGCACGGGGAAGTCGGATCGGCCCTCTCCTCGCTCGGGCGGCGCGGGCCGGTGCGGGCCGGTGCGGACCCCGCGGA